ACAGGAAACTTCTTCCTGTTCTGGCATTCCCGCGTGAATGTAGCCCACTCTTTAGGCATGGTCTTGCCTTACATGGCAAACACCCACAACCTACCATAACCTTATTTGAATTCGCCTATTTTTTAGAAGACCAGTCCTCAAACAACCTGAAAGAAAACGCAACACTGAAAATAACCACGCCACTGTTTCTAACAGACATTTCCTCAGACTTTTTGGAAGCATCATTGATCTCCTCCGCTTTGTCCTCGCCCTCAGGGTCTGTCAACATCTCCCCATCAAGATCATCTTCACCATCACCTTCCTCGAGCTCCTCAGACTCTGCGTGCATCTCCACCGCCGAAGAAGACTCAGAACTAGAGTCTTCCTCATCTCCATCATCACTTCCATCCTCACCCTCACCATCGTTTTCTCCCTCGCCCTCATGCTCGCTTTCTTCTTCTTCTTCCTCTTCTTCTTCCACATCACTTGGCGCACCGGTCTCAGGGACACACAAGGCATCAATGAGAGAGTCGAGCTCACTTGGGGTCAGATTGTCTAGACCAGCATCATCACCTTCCTCAATCATCGCATCACCTGGCTCCTCATTTTCCTCCTCCTTTTCTTCCTTTTCTTCCTTTTCCTCCTCCACGTCCACCTTGTCCTTGCGCTTCTTGTCCTTCTCGCTCTTCTTGTTTTTCTTCCCTGTCTCATTGCCCTTCTGCTTCTTGCGGCAGCTCTCGTCAGGGCTGTCTTTGTGCTCATGCTTCCGTTTCTTTTCCTTCCCTTTCTCCTTATCCTCCACCTTCTCTGTCTCTTTCCCCTTCACCTGGCCCTTCACCTTCTGCTTGGCCACCTTTTCCTTCTCCTTCTCCTTCTCCTTCTCCTTCTCTCGCTTCTTCACCATCTCCTTTGCCTCTGCCTTTGCCTCCTTCTCTTTCTCCTCCTCCCTTGCCTTCTTCGCTTTCCTGCGCTCTTCCTTCACACGCTCCTTTTCCTTCTCCATCTCCTTCTCTTTCTCTCGCTTCTCTGTCTGATCTTCTTTATGCTTCTTCACACTCTTGTCTTTCTCTTTCTTCTCACCCTTTCTCTTGCCTTCCTTTGTCTTCTCCACACGCTGCTCGTTCCTCCTGTTCTTGTCCATCGCTGCGTCCACGGTTTCCTGAACCGGAGACTTGATCGAAAGACGCCCTTGAATAGAAGGTGTGCGGCATGCCGCACCAGAAGTAGCAGTGGTTGACGATGAACCTGGGCTCCCATCTGGTGTGGTCTTGGTGACAAACCTCCGCCGTGTCGGTGGTGGAGCCACCTTCGGTTGCCTCCCAGCTGCGCTATCCTTCCCCATGAGGCCTGCGTTGACAGCCTATACCCCACACGGAAGCTTGCAAAACCAAAATGCCTCATGGTGAAGCGAAATGTGGAATACAATCGACGGCTGTCACTAGAATACAATCGCGATGGCAACTGATTCCACTCTTTATACTATCAGCTGCAGAAGATTGAGGGGGATAGACTATAGGGATGCACCCAAATACAAACGACGGCTGTTTACGCCAATCGGCGGCTGATCGACGGACAATCGACGGCTGAGCTATGCACGATTTCGGATGATTTTTTCCATTGACACTCGATCCCTCTGGGGCACTTGTCTCGCTCAAGTTCTTCAGGACAAATCGTGGCATTTTCCACCTGGCAGCCGCGAATTGGAGGCGCAACAGCTCCAGCCCCTCGCGAATGGGAGTCAAGGGAAGGCTTCCAGGATCGAACATGGACAAACCTATATAGCCATGAGAAGTGGGCCCTTTTGAGATTCCCCATCGCAGTCCATGGGCATTATGCCAGAAGACTTTACATGGACAAAAGCGAATTTAGTAACATGGCCCTGCAACATATTTCACGCTGCGACAGCACATGGTGCATACACCACCAGCTGCAACTCAGCTAGTAAGGTAATTGAACACTGGTTCCAAGTTGGCATCATCTAGCCATTTCTTCAGGCGCCAGGTGAGCTTAGGGTGCTCAGGGTCTTGCGCATCCTTGGCCTCCTTCAGGAACTTGCGAGCTTGGCTCTTGGTCTCAGCCTGGTGACGACGTCGAAGGCGTGCCAGAGCACGGCCAAACCTGAGATGTGGGCTGGGGGTTTCAAGTTCTATGGCTTGGATAAACATACTTCGTTCCCCAATGCGCTTAGATAACCAACTAGCATGGTTCTTCACGACCAGAAAATATGGGATTGTGTTGGGAGCACTTGGGTCACCTATACACAGAAACACCTGATACGAAAAGCAACTAAACCTGTAGGGCGACTGTGGTGTGTAAGCTTGAGAAGCTTTCAACCCTGATGCTCCAGCCACTCTGGCAACTCCTTTCTTATCCACATACTTCCGAACCAAAGGAAGACTCTCTGTAGATGGCCGGGGCAGTCTGATAGGTTTGAAGTCATAGAGGCCTTCGATCCAGCCGTGGCCTGCCAGTCGCTTGCAACCCACACGTTGGCAAGAGGAGTAGGGCTTGGGTTTGCAAAAACACTTTGGTCAATAGCCCCGATTGAAACAAAAGTGTTTGATCCATAAATTGTTTCTCAACCCCCGACCACTGTAGAGCCATGTAGGCTTTTGTGAAGGAGCAGCGAAGTCACCCATCTTCACTGTTTTCCTCCATGTCCTCACAACCTTGAACAAATATTGCGTGGCAGGGTGGTACTCCAAGACTGAATTTTGGGGCTGCTCTAGCACCCAATTGATGCCCCTGCTGGCGCACAGCAGCACAAGTATGACTACCCGCGCAACCATACAGTTTCCATCAGCAACGCAGCGAACCGATGGATCCCCCAAAGGCTTGGTCCGGCTTCGTCCTGTGGTTGAAGACGACCTTGGCAAAGCGAGGGGTCTCAGGCATGCGCTGCATGCAACCAGTTCTCCGGGCACAGCAACAAAGATTTTGTTGGTTATCTTCTTTGGGCTTCGGACAGCTTCTATGGAGATTCGATAAAATCTAATCAGAGAGGGGCAAATGGTATTGATGGACTCTTTAAAGGTTTTACTTCAAATTCCATTTATTGATTTCACCCTCACTGTAGGTGCAGTGTAGCGCACAAATAAAACCTACGAGGTTCAGTGTAGCGGCAGCCAAACCCAACTCGAGCAGACAGGGGCCAGGGTGCAACTGCCACCTGGCCGAATCTGAAGTACCTGAAAGACTGCGTGCACAAAGCCAGCTGGAGACAGGATATCCATCATCTTGTCATCATAGTCATAATCGAACACTGAGCATCGGTGATTGTTCTCCTAGCAGTTCTTTCAGGCACACACACAGGTACGTGCTTGGGAGCGCCATACATAGTCTTGGACAGGTTTCAAACCATTTTCATAGATGAGGGTTGTAGTTTTTTTGAAAGCAACGCACACAATAACTATGAAGGCCCTCAAACACAGGGGCCCTCAAAACAAACGACTCCTTCATCTCCGCCAGTGTAACCTGCATCTTCCCTGAGAAGAACTCTGCATGGTCGAGCTGCTGCCAGCGCAAACCAGGAAAGCCAAAGACCAGGGCTGCCAGCAAAGCGACCACCTCGAAGGGGTGAAGGGTTAGCTCTGTATGCGACCACCGATATTTCAGATCCCCCAAAACCCTTCTACAACAACACAGACCTACAGTATACTAGATAGGTCGGTTTTCCTAGACTCTTTGAAGACCACGCACCTTCGGCGTCTTCAGCTTAAGCAACCCCAGCATGGTCCACCTTCGATGCTTCGCACATAGGCCATTGCCTTGGAACTCTGAACCTAAGGCTTTCGGAGCAGACCTCTTCATAGCCTTCACATTCTTGGCGCGGTGCTCGGACGCTCTATAGGCTTTTCCCATGGTGTGACGCGCAAGTTCCTGTGAAAACCTTTGGAACCTTTGGGCCTTGAGCGCTATTGAGAAGAAGCCGAACACATTCCAGAAAAAAAGACAGCTTTTCTGAGATTCCAAACCCTAGTTCTTTTCAAGAATTGAAGTCTGGCGCATGGTAGCAAAGCTGTCAAGTTAGAAACTCACCGTGATGAAAATAGAACACGGCAGAAGAGTGAATTCGATGCCAGCCTTCACCGTCCATGAAAAGCAAGCAATTTGAGGCCCTTGGAGCATGCACCTTCCGCAGTTTGGAGGACTGCGATCTCGGGAGAACGAGGCGTACGACATTTCTGCTGTTACTTCACCTTTTCAACGCTAGGCATTTGAGACCAAACAACATGTTCGCGCCTCCATCCACAAAACCCCAAGATGGAAGCAGGAAGCCGGCCCAAGTTCGTTTGAGATGCGTGATGTTTCTGATAAGGTGCTCATAAATATGAACTTAGTGTTCGTATACGTTTCATAATGACATCACACCTCTTTCAGGCGTCTACGAAAGATATGTTTCCGAGATTGTTTGCCATACAAAAGAAGTGTTTGAAAGAAACTGCTGAACACTTGTTCTCGTGAGAAAACGAGATGGACTTGGACCAGCTTGAAATCAGGGAACAAGTTGAACTCAGCTTCGGAGGAAGGCTTCAATATCCATGTTTGTGAAAAATGAAGCCTGCCAATCCAGAGCTTGTGATAAACACATTCCAATAGCAAGACTGCCATTGCGTTTTGACTCTTAGCCGAGAATGCGACGATAAACCCCAGATGCATCGTAGACACCCCAGCACCTCTTTCTTTCTTTTCTTAAGCAGCAACCCCGATATAAACATATATAAACAACATATATAAATTATATAAACATTATTTTGTGTAGCAACCATAGGGCGAGATGTGACGGGCTGATGCACTTGCAGCAGAATGGCCGGAAGCGCAGCGATTCTACCGCGCTCCTTATGACAAACTTGCTGCACCCAAAGGATTCTACGGTTCATTGAATCCTCAATGAACGAACCCCATCAAAACTAACATTGCCAAGGAACACTTCAACAAAGGTTCACTGAATCCTCGATGAAAGAACCCAATCCAAACATATCCAAACTAACATTGCCAAGGAACACTTTCAAAAACCAACACTACGAGAGCACGGCAAAGCACACGGCTCGGCTAAAGCCGGAACGTTCCTTAGCGAGATCCCAAGCTTTCTGAGGATCACCAACTCTGAGCCAGCTGATGTGGCCTTTCGGCCCAGGGGCGCCTGGCGCCACTTTCTTCACAAAAAAAGCTTCCTGTCGAAGCAACACCTCGACCACACCATGCTCTGCACAACCCAGAGTGTAGGAATGCTGTCCGCGATTTTCGCGCCCTAGGTCCGGATATGCCTCTTCAGGCAAAAGAGACAAGTCATAGCCACAAAAAACATTTGCGGCTCCCCCCACAACCATGGGCTGCGGATCAGGAACACGCTCGACAGGCTGCTTCGCTTTCAAACCCTTCGCCTTGTGCTGGCGCTTGAAACTAGCAACTTTACCACTAGACTTGTTCTTACCCTTGCCTTTCACTTTCTTGGTGGCCTTCTTCGTGCGTCGTCCATCTGGTGCCTCGGCACACATGCGAAAAGTAATGCCACCGCTATTGTTGACCATCAAATCAGAAGAATGCTGCATCGCACCACCCTTGACAATTGAACTACATCCCTACGCGGCTTGGCCACATCCACCTTCGGAGGAGTTTCGACCAAAGGGAATCCCCAGAAAGCTGGCCTCTCACACCGTGGAGTCGTGAGTGTCGAAGGGGGGCAAGCCGATGAAGCTTCCAAGGCCTCCAACGAAGACTGAACACAAAAAACAATGTGTTGCATTGACAATTGAGGAAAATGAGGTTGGCGATCCCCAGCCTTACAGTGCATGTTGTTGCTGGCTTCCACCAGCATGGATTCAAACTCCCCTGGACCAGCAAGCGATGGCATAGAAGCCGAGTCATCGGAGTCAGACTCTTCACCGTCACTGCCACCATCACCGCGAGGGGTTGGCAATGAAGTTGGAGACATCTCAGCATCTCGACCATCCAAAGCCTCAAACTCAATGGGCTTGCTCCTGTGAAGACGAGGGCGTTCGCTGCTTGTGTGCTGACCCAAAATGAGAGTAGCGGAACTGGAGCTCTCAGGGCTGTCCACCGATTCAGACCTCGCAATCGGTCTGCAAAGCCCAGGCGCAGGTGTGCTTGAACTGGCCAGGCCATTCCTGGCACGCTCAAGTGCAATTTTCTCTTGGAAGGTCCCAACTTTGAACTGCTCCCAATACTTCTTCAGTTTTTCTTTCTTGGTCGAACACTTGCGTGTGGGCTGAGCAACGCCTTCAGCAAAGGGGGGATTGTCCATCTCATCATCTGAACCCACAGATTCTGACTCTTCATGGCCAGACTCTGACTCACACACAGCCGCATGAGATGGTGGATTCCTGGCAGCTGGCGCACCCTCATCAGAAGATGTTGGATCGCTGCCAGCTTCATCTCCACTGTCATGAGGCAATGCTCCCTCATCAGAAGATGGATCACTGGCGGCTTCATCCAATTCAGATTTCAATTCCACCTTGACCGCTCCCTCATCAGAAGATGGCGGATCACAGGCGGCTTCATCCACTTCAGATTCCACTTCCTCGTTGACCGCTCCCTCATCAGAAGATGGTGGATCGCTGGCAGCTTCATCCACTCCAGAACCAAATTCTGCATGCTCATCGCCACCATCGTTGGCCAGCGGAGGAGCTTCCTCATCATCGCCGTCCACCGGCACAAAGTCGACATAGTTGCCACCCTGCGCAAGGTGACACTCAAAACACTATGACCCTTTGAGACTTCACAACTGCATGCTGCCGAACTTCTCTGACAGAAACAAACAAATGCAAATGAACAACCCTGATCCGGTCCCGACGACGGCGTGGATTGGGAGATCTCCGAAGCAGTGACTTCAGCTCAGCAACTCTATCATTGGTGCTGTCATTCGGGCCTCAGCTCCAAAAAACAGAAGGACATTTCATTGGAATTTATTGGAATCGCACTTGACAGGAAGCTTGAAGGTGTCTTGCTTTGGATGCAAATGAGAAACTGTTCCGGAAAAGATGTCGAAGCGATCCCATGCAACGTTTCAAACGTTTGGCTTCGAGCCCTGCAGCAGCTGCTTTCGACTGACCCGCCACAGGCACAAGGAGATGACCATCCATAGCCTTGTCCAAGGCCAGCAGGCCATCTGCTATGTAGAATGCACTTGGGACCTGCCAACATTCAAACCAAGCAAACCTATCATAGGTATAGAATGCACTTGTGACCTGCCAAAAGTCACATCAAACAGACCTCTCAAATACACGGCGCCAAGCCAAGCCTTGTCCGGGTTCTCTCGACAAAGGGGCTCCAACCAAAAGTAGTTATTGGACAGATCCTGAAGCAGAGCTGAATACTGCCAATCTCTGGCAGCGTCAGCAAAGTCAGACAGTTTTCAACACCAATATATATATATATATCAATATATATATAATATTGAAACTTGAACACCCAACCCTCCTGAACACTTGGGGCAGACAGCTCCGAGGACAAAACCACCAAACGCGTTCCAGCTGGAAGCCGGTCCCGCAAGACCAAGTCAAGAACAGTGTGTGGAAGAATCGCACGCCAGGCGTCGCGAAGAGTCACCTGAGCATCGAACCCCGTGAGTTCCAGGACCAAGACATGCGTGCGCAATTTCGAATCCCTCATGATTCCTGACCGCGATGGATTCTTTTTGCAGCTCACCATTTCCATGTGCAAAATATGTTCCAAACAACTTGCAACTGATTGATTCAAAAAAAGCTGCCACTTCTCCTTCGGTCCAAGAAATTCTTCCCGGTCCTTGGAAATAGTGCGAGTTAGAGGAAACCATGTGCCTCAACTCCTCATGATATGCACGACATTTTTGTTTGCAAGAGAGTTTCTCACCGATCTCCACTGTGGTTTGTCCACCATAACCAATGCATCCCCAGCCAAAGCCATGAGGCACAAGAGGGATTTCACACCAAGACTAGACTCACTGAAACAGCCGGCACTGCTGCGAAGAACTCGCTTTCTGTGCTCGAAAACTTAAAAAAAGAACGATCCTGCGCAGGACAGCTCTGACCGCGTGGTGAGGTGCCATGAGACTCGGACTGTCTCAGGAAAAATATGTATATATATATACACAAGAATAAATAAATACCATAGAGGATGATAGTTAGAATATATATACATATATGTTTCAAACCGACATAAACAACATCACCTGCGCATGAACTGCAGCGCCCGGGTTTCACAGACTCGTTTCACGAAGCGATGGCCGGTCGAATGAAATGGAGAGACCGCGAATTTGTTTCCCTGTGAGTTTCAAAACCTGTTTGTTTTTACAACGCATGTACCACACTCAAGATTGAACATGCGCCTGCGTGCTCCATATAACCGGCTTGCCCAAGCCAAGGTGTGTGTGTGTGTAATTTTCATTCTATCCTAGCTGCGTTGCAGAGGTCTGACAGGCTGCCAGCTGGCTGCAAAGACCGAGTTGTAGCTCACAGTTCACGAATTGTGCAGAATATTTTCCCACAAAGGCAACACCCAAAGAACATGTTGGGCGGGAGGGTGGGATTGGTAGCGGTAGCCAGACAAACTCAAGAGCTTGTCGGTGAAAGCTTCACCAAGAAGGCATAAAAACAATCAACAACTCCAGCTGTCCCTTGTAACAACGCTGTCCTTTGCACACCTTTGGCTCCTCACGGCAGAAAGCCAGAGCTCGATCCTCTGTCGCGCTACCCCATTTCGACC